CTTGGTAGCCCAGGCTGGTCTCGAACTCACAGAGATCCGCCTGCCTCTGCCTCCCGAGTGCTGGGATTAAAGGCGTGCGCCACCACCGCCCGGCTACTCAAGAACTTTTAAAGAGATTCCTACTCTCTTCCATTTGCAACCCGGAGTCAACTGATGTTGCACGTTGCCGTTGGTTGTAGGTTTCTAGTCTTCTTAGTTTAGAATGGTATACACATATTTAAAAAATGGCAGTAGCTTTTTAAAAATTGGCACAATTGCCTTAAAGAAAGAGCCCACTCTCTAGATTTGTTTTCTTCTACTGTATTGCAACATCTAGCCCCATACTTCCTGTAAGCAAACCGAGGCTTGTGTTAAAGTATTCTTGGCAAGGGGTGTTGTGTACTTTTATTGGCTCACATCAAAGAAACATCCGTCCACACCTTTATTAATGAACAGAATAGTGATCCTTAGGTTGAGTTGGTGCACTTGGATGTCTCTGTTATAAAATTACGTTTACTTTGCAAATGGTTAGCATTTGTGGGAGATTCTTTAGTGCTGTTTGGATTCATCATCCCTCAAATTCCACTTCGGGGGTTTCAGTGTACCTTGCTGATCCTTGCCTGAGTTACTGCCTTGATACAAAATGAAATGTTGGTTTTCTAAGAACTGTTTCTTTTTCTTCACTGATGTTCTAAGAAAGAGCTTACCTCACAATTCTGCCTTTCCTGTTGAATACTGCAGTGATTAATTTTGTATTTGTGTGCGTGCATATATACCAGGGTTCATGTTTGAAGGTCAGAGGACAACTTGCAGAAGTTGATTCTCTTCCTCCACCAAGGGGATCATAGGGACCAAACTCAGGTCATCAGGTTTGGCTGCAAAGCCCATTTGCCCACTGAGCCAATTGGTGGCCCCAAAATTCATTTTGCAATTGCTAGATTTCAGATGCTAATTGTAATGCAAAAACAACAAAAATCCCTGAACTATCCATTTAAAAATAAGGTCTTAAAAAGTGTCATTTTTTTCCCTTCATTAAATCTCTCTGTCAGCAAGGTCTTCGTCTTTATAATATAGCAAATTATTTTTCTGTGGATTATAAAATTCACATCTTAGCAAGTGTCTTTTCTCCACAAGACCCTTTAAAAAATGAACTCATAACAATCTTTTAGGCTAGCATACAAAATAGTAGGCCTCATCATGGCATCTTCATACATAAGTAAGCAAGACATCTTTTTATTTTTTTTTAATTTTTAATTTTTATTTTATTTTATTTTATTTTACAATACCATTCAGTTCTACATATCAGCCACGGGTTCCCCTATTCTCCTCCTCCCACCCCCTCCCCTTACCCCCAGCCTACCCCCCATTCCCACCTCCTTCAGGGCAAATCCTCCCCCGAGGACTGCGATCAACCTGGTAGACTCAGTCCAGGCAGGTCCAGTCCCTTCCTCCCAGACTGAGCCAAGCATCCCTGCATAAGCTCCAGGTTTCAAACAGCCAACTCATGCAATGAGCACAGGACTTGGTCCCACTGCCTAGTTGCCTCCCAAACTGATTAAGCCAATCAACTGTCTCACCTATTCAGAGGGCCTGATCCAGCTGGGGGCCCCTCAGCCTTTGGTTCATAGTTCATGTGTTTCCATTCATTTGGCTATTTTTTTTCAATAATTGAGTAAAACTGTAATTTATTATAAGCCACAGTCGTCCTAGGTACCTCCATGCTATATATATAGCCTCCATGGTTCTATGGGTTGTGGTCTGATTGTTCTTTATTTTATATCTAGAATCCACATATGAGTGAGTACATACCATGACTGTCTTTCTGGGTTTGGGTTACCTCACTCAGGATGATTTTTTTCTAGTTCTTTTTATTTTTTAAATGACATTTTAGCTAATTCTTCCAAGTGTCTTGGAGTTGCTAGTTTTTTTCTATTCATATGTTCTTACGTGCAGCTTGTCAATCTGCTTTGAATAGCGTTTCATGATTACCTGACTAGCCCTGAGCCGAGCACCAGGCATGGGGTGGGCTATTGCTTCTGATGTGATCTAATCTTGTTGGCATAGGACCATAAATGACATTATAAGGTACCTGTGACCTGCAGTCAGTTCTTCAGTCATTCCCAAGGTAGAGGGGACACTTCCTGAAAACCAGTTTAGTAACTGCCTTGGAGATGATGGCCCCAAACAGAGAGAAGCGGGAAAGACAGATCATCGAAGAGCTCTGGGTTTGTCCCCCTGGTCCAGTGCTCGGCTATCCAAGTGACCAGGGGCTGTCCCACACTTACAAAACGGGGTTTTGTCCATTATTTTCAGTGGTAAAAATCTCTGCTACTGTTACAAACAGAAGACTTCTTTAGAATATCCCCTTATCTTTAAAAGTTACAAATACTCATTGTAAAAATCAAAGTAGCCAAACAATTCATACACAATAATAAAAACCATCTTT